TATATATATGTGCATTATAAAGTGGGCAGTAATATCAGAGATATATCAATGCAACATCCATGAGGATCGATGTGCAAACTGAAGAATTGAGGCTAAAACCTTCATTAAATTCCTTGTAAAAATTAACATTTTGACCTGACCCCCTTTGGATTCTGCCCAAAGGATATTGCAATTTTATGATCTCTTTCATTACCTGTTCATAGATCTTTCATCCCATGGGATGTTGCGATTTACTTTTTATATTTTATCACTGGAATAACGAATTTGTCACCTTTGCATATCGACCAGTGGTTAATTTTAAGAACACCAAACATGAATCCATATGAAACCTCAAAATTCAAGTGAGAAAATCTTAGGGAAAATCTTGACTAATCAACTTATAATTTCAATGCCACATATACAAAATATACATTAACAGATTAAAATATAAAATGAGTACTCAGGTAACAGGAAATGAACATTCTGCTTCCTAATTTCTTGTAGCTCTGCCCCAGACTGTAAATGTAACCCTGTCTTATAAACACATGTATTAATCTCACACACATATACAGCACCTGCATGAGTATTAATAAGTACCATAAGCCAAAGTTTGAATTCATGTCACAGTGATTTGGCCTTAATAAGAACATAAGAACAGCTTCATGTCAAATTAAAATGATTGAATGAGTTAACCTGATCTACATGTATAACATATGATGAGGGTGCAACATGATCAGAGTGCAATTGATGATCAGGGTGCAATATAATTAGAGTACAATATGATTAGAGTGCAATATGATCAGGGTGCAATATGATCAGGGTGCAATATGATTAGAGTGCAATATGATCAGGGTGCAATATGATTAGAGTGCAATATGATCAGGACACAAAATAACCAGGGTCAAGGAGAGAATTAATCAAGGAACTTTATTAGAAGAAAAGGAATATGCAAATGTTCTACCTGGAAATAAACTATTTTGAAATCCTAGTGGTTAGTCTAAAGACATTCATACATCTAAAAGACAGTTCAACAAGTATTGGGGATCTATATCATAATAGACTGCCTCGTTTTCCAGTTCTATGACTTTCAAATTTTTGATTGCCTTTCCTTCATCAGTTCTATTCTTTCCCACTCTACTGTATTGATAGTTTTTCTAACTATTGCCTGCAAACTGGACATCTGATCATCTTAAGAGCTTGTTTGATTATTTATTTATTTATTTGTTGGTTTGGGGAGGCATGTATACATGTACATGGATATCCTTGAAGTGAACTGACCAAAGCATGCCATGAAAATCGCAAAGTTTCATCTTGCTCTTTATTCACCTTCACTCAACTTAAACATATTTTTAATCTTTTTATTTTAAAGGAGTTTAAAGAATAAACCATTCTGAGAATAAAGAATTATCTTAGATGTGACCAATATTGAAAACATGGATTAAGTTATGGAATTAAAATCCATACCAAGTATTGTAATTTTAATTGTATGGAAATGGTGCTGAGGTTATAGTGTGGGACAATTCCTGATGACATTGAAAGAGTGGCCACCAAATATACTATATTACAATATTTTATTTGATATAGAATAGATAGATATATACTTGACCTCAATATTGAATATCTGAGGTGAATTCGATATTTTCAGAATGGTCAGAAAAATTGGCTTTAATATGGAATTTCAATGAATAAACATGAAAACAGAAAATAAATATAAATTTAGATGACATGATTAAAATCACAATGTGGGTGAAATTGTCTCATGACGCACATCAATCAAAACATCTCAAACTTTTTATAGACACACTGCTCAAAACATTTTTGAAGCTGTTGTGATGAACTGATGCATTTGATAGAATTAAAAATTACCTGATCTTCAATTGTTAACACTTGACCCATAAAGGAGAAAACATCCCAGTGAATGCACATAAACATCATTATGCACAAAACAATTTTTTTACCATTCAGAATGCTCAAAGTTTAAAAAAGGCATTTTGCTCATGAGATCCATATCGCGCATCATCCAGACGTCTTGAACGATTAATGATGATGTTTTTTCATAGGATTCAGTATGATATTAAGCGGTACTTGATGCGTTAAGTATGAGTGAAAAGGTTCGGATTGAGAAAGGATACGTAATGGATGGTTATAGCGTGTGAAAAGGGCACGCAAGGCGAGACTTCAAGTCTCCCTATATTGCTATAAGGATACTTCTATTCCATCATCCAATTCAATGAAGATTCTAAATGCATCAATCTGAGCAGTTTTTAGAACACTATACATCATTTTCAGACTTCTTCAACATAATTCATGTATCTAGCTTATAATTCGCAAAATGTTTCATTCATATATTGATGGAATATTCAAAATCATGAAATATATCATATCAAACTCTACATTCCTCAAAACGATAGAAAATTATACTTAGCCTAACTCATGGCAACTGAAATGCCACAAATAGTCTAAGTTATACTTCAATCAATGTTTTTCTGGACATACACATGAATGAAATGTTTTCCAGGCCCTGTGTGTGAGATTGCATGACATGTTTTCCAGGGCCTGAGTGTGAGATTGCATGACATGTTTTCCAGGGCCTGAGTGTGAGATTACATGACATGTTTTCCAGGACCTGAGTCAGATTGCATGACATGTTTTTCGCCCTGTGTGTGAGATTGCATGACATGTTTTCCAGATCCTATGGATGAGATAATGTAGCATGCTTTCCATATCTATGCATTAGATTGGATGTTTTCCTTCATTCTGATACTCATAGCATCTTTCTGTTTCACTTGAAACATGCTCTGATATTATGAGGCATATTCTGTGATCTGAGCACATCAGATGGGAAGAGTTATAACTGTCAATAAGTGTGATAGTTATCATGTAATCATTTACCTAATGTCAATACATTACATAATAGGCGTTGTATTTAAGAGCAGATATTAGCACAGGTATGTGTACACAAGTTTAATGACCCCAATTAAATGAAATATGAGCTGGGATGAAAGATCTCAAAAATCCTCAATTTTGGGCTCTCCTGGATCGCCAAATCAAGCTCATTATATCATGGCATCTCAGGGCTGAGAAGAAATGAGATGTCATGGTATATCATGATGGTTTTCCTTGGCAAATGTATAAGATTGCATGACATGTTTTCCTGAGCCTGTGCATCAGAATGCATTACATTTTCAAGAATTCCCTAGCATCATAATAACTACCAATTTCTATAGATTAACTAGTCAAGGCCCAACCCCCCTTGGGACATCAACCTAATTTCTTCATTTTGCTCGGCTTAATTTGTCACATTATGGTGTATAAAACTGGCACCATGACGATAACTTATATTTTCCTTGCAGAATTGGTTTCCAGGGTAGAACAATAAACTTAAAACAGGCTTAGAGCAGATACTTTTATTGCCACTTTTTCAAGACTGTATTAACACCAATATCCATTTTCTTTAGGTAAATATGAAACTCATTGTATTCTCTACCTTACTTTAACATGATTCAATTAAATAATCAACAATACGTTTTTGGAAGAAATCATCCCATTATTAATGTATCTGATCAGGTAAAATCACTTTAATATCAGTAGTAGCATGCATTGCAAAGATGAATCACTGAGAAACTGACAGAATTATAATTTATAGTAAATCAAAATCATCATCTCCCTTAATGTCTCCTTAAGGAGAAATCTATATTCTTGCTATAGCTTGTGTGGTCTACTAAACGTGTACATGTAATAATTCACTCTTGACATGTAAAAATGTTTATTGAAATTGGTAGACAAAATCCAAAGAAAAAAAAATAAACAAGAGTAATACCACTCAAATGAAGAAAATAGTCAGAAAAATAAATTAACAAATGGAGAAAGTACATCAATATAATTTTCATATAAGTTTAGCAGTTCTTTTGACGCCACTAATTCGAACACATCCCAAAGCTAACAAAATCTATATATTGACAGAAGAGCCTCTTATTAAGCATATTGATAGCACTTAATCCTAATACTATTTCAGGATTACATTTTTTATTCCTAGCGAGACATTTATCCGGTTTAATGATCCTGATACCCCCATGTTGATACATGATTGACAACATCGTTATGGTGAATCATAACTTACTTAAAATGTAGAAAATAGTGAAAAAATGGAATAAGCCGAGAAAATTGACGAACGCCATCCAAAATTTATCAATCTTGTCACCATCTTTGGCTTTGGACGCCATCTTGAACGTTCTACCACATTTAAGAATGATACTTTTGCAGCGATTAAAACCATCGAAGTGGCTGACTACAGAAAGACATAAGCTAATATTAATAATTGGTAATTAGGCACATTTTTGTGGCGTTACTTCGAATATTGACAGACGATTTCATTTCTAGAGTGTAAGTCAGTGATATCAGGAATATAATGAGCACAAATTGATAAATGGCCGTAAATGACATCTTATACCTAACAGAAGATAAAGGTTAATTTCTTTTACCCAGAACAAACGTAAATATAAAACTTCAACAAATACATCAACTACATAACCATACTCAGTCTAGTGCACAGGCAGATTTATCCATGTAAAAACAGAACTGTCATCTCAAGCTGAGCCAGCCAAATTTGGCATCTGCATACTAGATTGTATCATTATAATCTTTACACTCTGAATCTTTTTATATTCTAAATGTAGTAGGGGATTCTGCTAAAATCATGTCTTCCATACAGAGTAATAAATACAACGTGGATACTGAAATCGGCATCAATCTCTATATTACCCCAGCCAGGCCTGTAGCCAGCATTTGCAAAAGGGGGGGGGGGTTCACTTTTTGGAAAATTCCAGGGGGTTCACTTTTGACAATTTTGGTCCAAACATGGCCAAGATCACTTAAAAAGTGCTCAGAATGGTGAAAAACTGCATGATTTTGGAAGAATCCATCAACCCCCCTGGCTGCGGGGCTGCGGGCCTGCCAGCCCTCTATTCTCTTTTCCATCGTGGTAGAGGATAGTTGGAAGAAGAGAGGACTATTGTACTCACCCCTGGCAATGTCTTGATATTGTGTAGTGCATTTTGAGCTTCTAACGCAGATTTTCTTTCATAAAACGTCACAAAACAGCAGCCTGAAAGTACATAAAACAAACATTTCATTAATGTTTTGTGTCATGAACAAAATACATTTTTGAAATTATCATCAATTCATATATCAATATACATAAAATATATAGCACTATCAAGATTATTTTTCTCAAAGCTTTAATTGTTATATTCTAATTTTCTTATAATTTATATTGATTATTTTAACAATGCATCAAAGCAGGAACAAGAGACACCAAACTCCACATAGAAGAAATTGAACACCCCCCCATTCCCACCAAAAAATCACTGATTTCCTCAGACATTTATCTCCCTAATCTCTGAGTAGCCCTCCCAAAATCTGACACTTAGTTGTTGTTTATTGCCCTCAGGTACAACTGGGGAACATTACATGCTGCGCTTCTTGTAGATTTGCTGGAAATAGCTCTTTATGTAGAAGTAAACACAAGAATTGGGAGCTTTTATGATATTTAGATTATCCTATAGGAGGTTAAGACCACGGGGGGAGGCGCTCACATTTTCAGTCAAGCCCAAAATGCTAATTTTGCACAAGACATACCAATATTTATTTTTCAAATCCTAATTTGACAACACTTGTGTCAATTTTGTCTAACCATACTCAAATATACTTCCAAAAAACATACAAAATCCTTTTTGATTCATGAAAGGTTAGGTCAAACATTACTGTACCCCCCCCCACCTTAACCCACCTAGCTATAGGCATGCCTATACTGTATACTGAATATATTTCACTATATTTTCAGGACATGACTGGATTTTAATCATTAATTTATCTGCACCTAATATTATTATAAGCCATAATACTATTAAAATTGAGAGACTGACTGACATTTTCAAACGAATAAATCCAACCTATAGTATACTATTTCTATCTTTACATTACACACAGTTTACATACGATTTTTTAGCTTTCATACAGAATTTATCTTTTATTGATTTAAAACTAAAACAGTCAAGCATGACTTGACATACACATTTGCTAATCTAGTCATACAGTAATTTTACATCATATTATCAATCGATATTACATCAAATAACCTTTGAATTTCTCCTATTATACTTAATCCAACTCATGGATGCTACTTTGACCTGATTTAACTTTTGAGGTCACAGGATGAGTTAATTAGTGTTGTAAGCAAAATATGTCATACAGCTTTAAAAGGGTATATGAGGTATATTAGAGGTAATGAAGAGTGAAAATGCCATATCTTCCTACAGATCTAATTACTCAACTGTGGGAGATATATTTCCTGTTCCAATTTATTTTTATTAACGTTAACAGGGCACGTAATCGTGTTACAGTCAGTTTTAAATAAAAGTACTCAGTTTGAAAAGCATCACAAGTCTTGCTCCAAGTCTCTGCCCCCCCCCCCCCCCATCTATTTCACGCCCCCCATCTATTTCACACACCCCCTCCCCAATAAATGATAATTCAGAGAACTACATACATGTTAAAGCATTATTTGTTTGTTTGTTTGTTTGTTTGTTTGTTTGTTATTTGGAAAGTGGGATAAGAGATATCAGTCTTTGATTCTACTAAGTATACTTTACAATTTACAATCTATCAGAAATGCTACAACTTGAGAATCTTAATTCAATGATACATGTAGTGAAACCTGTATCCAAACATCTCTCTAATCTAACACCTCTCCTTGTGAGCATTTTTCTCGAACCAATATTTGTCATCTCTCCTACTGATGCAAACATCTAAATAAAAAAGTGAACACCTGCCAATCCAAACACTTTTGGCTGGTCTTAGCAGTGTTCAAGTTAGTCAGGTTTTACTGTAAAACAATCACATGCCATATTTGGGTCCATGTACCAAACTGTTTCTTGAAAACGATCTGTCATTGCATATTAACCTATATGTCTTGAAAGGTCTCATGCCAACATGACAGAGGTACCAAGGGAAACTTATCCTAAATGCAAGCCTAATTAGAACAAATGGCACGTTGTCATTTAACTGCCTTATTGCCAATTTAATATTGAAGCTAACAAAACTGTCATATCATCTTGCTTATCAGCTGTACTTAGTTATCATTTTTCTAATTTATTTTGTTTATGGACTTGTTTATGGCTATAATCTATGAAAATTGAAGTACAGTATAAAATAAGTCACCATCCATCCAAGTACTTTGAATATGCAATTGTATAATGAATAAAAAAGCATTACTATTAGAATTATTTTTGTTATTGTTATTCCAGAGTATTTTGGGACTAAAATTGTAGATAGAAGTTTTAACAAGTTTTGACAATTGCAATGTGCAAGGGCAGAAAAGGGCCAATCCAAGTAAATATAAGGGAAATGAGAAATGCATTGTTGGCATTATAAACCTAGAAAGAATGCTACATAGGATAGTACTTTATTATCCAAAATGGGATTCAAAGGAGTGGAATCGCCAAGGAATAAAATGAAGAGACATGGAGTTAACACTATAAATTGTATAGAAATGCCAGGAAGACTTGCCTTTCATACAGATTAAGGAGAGAAATAGTGAGAAATCATGAGAAATTTCAACCAGGGGTAAAGCTGCAAGGTTCTATTATAAAAGTCATTACTCATGGAGAATCCCCTCCAAATGAACATATGATGGTCTCAAATGTAAAATAAAGTGGATTCTAAGTGAAATGGAACCATCCAATGTTTTAGGTCTGAAACGAATCCACATAATTCATAACACTTTCACTTCAAAATAATCATACCATATAGAGGTTTGGAGAGAAAGGGAGATTGTCTGAAGTCATTATGAAGATGATTATTCATTGAAATGCCAATACCAGTTTTATTCAATCACGCATTCAATCCTATTCGATACTCTGTTCATCATCTAGACACAAAAATGAAAAATATCTAGTGTAATTTCTCAACTTTTGATGGAAACATAGTAATATTACCCATACGAAAACACATTTTCAATATTTCAAGAATATGTCAATGCTTCATGGTGTAGAGTTTAAGGATGCCACTGATATTGTTTGCTTTAAGAATTAACAACATAAAGAAAATACATCAAATTACATTACATCTATACTCTAAAATAAAACAAACGACCACCTTAAACAGAATTGATACATTAAGAGCATAGAAAAATGCAATTTACTAGGATCTTGCGTTGAGATTATTATAGGTATTAAGTCTCCTGACAGGATATCAGGACTTATGTATTGATCTCAGAGCATTTATGGTTAAAATACCACCAGTTTCTTTGCTTGTTATCATCTTCGTATTTATTCCATTAAAAGCATTTCATAATGATTCCTGAATGTGGCTCTTTACAACACATTCATATAATTCAACCCAAAGGCTGTTTTCATATTACTTACCTCAATATCTAATGGTATATTAGCCAACAGTTTTACATTTTAAAGCAATGTGGCAATTTTGAATTAAGCCCAAGGAGAGTTCTAAATACAGGTGATATTTAGGTAGAACACTTTGCAATAACTTTGCCATGATAATTCTGTTGATATACCACCAAATGTGTATGTATTCTGAGAGAATTCTGAGTCTGGAGAGAGATATGAAATCATTAAGAAAATATGCAGGCACCAAGTGTATAATTTCAACCTGGCTTAACATCAAACAGAAACAAACACCATCTCAGTTTGCCATACCTCTAAGGTTAAAATATTAGATACCTGCCTTATTTGCAAGATTTCCTGCTTTTTATAAGATTCAGGATTTTTCTTCCGTATTTTGTTGTTAAGATCTAAATCTATGTTCTAATGCTCATCACATGTATTGGAAGGTATGAGAACTTAGAGGGTGCCATAGATTATCATCGATGATGCTTATATCCCATATTTGAGTATTATAATTATGACATACATTTCCATAGTAAAGTCTAATAATTATTCAATAAAAAGGCTGTCAAATATTGGTCAATTATGAAGCCAATGTACTAGAAGTCATTTTAGGGCACAAAATATATATTTCTCTCAATATAACTACAGTACTCTAAAATACAGTTAAACCTGTCTCAGTAGAACACCTTTGGTACTTCTAAGAAGTGTTCCACTCGGGACCAGTTGGGATGTGTTCTAATTGTAAAGGTTCATTTAACATTAGTCAGATGATCTTGGGACTCTGAAAATTATTCTACAGAGGTGTTCCACTTTACAGGTTTTACTGTAAATGCATATTTTCCAAATTACCCTCTTGCAAGTGTAAGGTTTCAGAATAGATCACTTTTACATCATAATCATGTATTGAGTTGAGTATCATAACTGTTTAAACGAATCATACAAATTATTCATTTCAAAGAATACCATTGATTATTTTGCTTTTGATTTATTCATTAATTTAGTTGTTATATGACAAAAGACCTGACCTTTTGTTGTGATAATAACAAAGATATGGCCTTTTGTTGTGATAATTACAGGTTAAAACATGAGCTATATACTGACAAAGTAACCATTAAGTAACCTATAACAGTATATCATTTAATTATAGTGAAATTTCTAACAATTACTTCCAAAGAATAGAAATTATGAGCTTGAAAGCTTGTTTGCTCTAACTAAAAACATCACGGAATGATTTTCCTAAACAATTTTCAGAAGTTGATTTGATTTTTGAAAAACAACCCGAATCATAATTTGAGAGTGACATATAGATATTTTCAAGGGTTAAAACGGAACTTGAAAATGCAATGTTGATCCAAACATGAGATAAAGCCCCATAATCAATAAATTCAATCTAGAGCAAAATAATACTAGAGCAAGAGAGCTATTAATATGTCAACATAAAATATATTTGAATCGACTCAACAATGGAGAATCCTCTCTCAGTTACTTCAGAGACAACCCTTTATAAGTTTCACTTCTATACTCTGTATTAGGGAATAATCATCTGATTTAGCCCATGTTCAGTCAGAATAGTACATACATACAAGGGGTAATCCAAAAGTAAGGAGACTGCATACTACCATTCTAACATTTTTAACCATGAATATGTTTTATTCACTTATATACTATAACCCAAAGTTTCAATATCTAATTCTGACTA